CTGAACAAAAAGTGAAATCCTCTACTTAACAAGTGCTTTTTATCCCTCAAAATAACCCTCTGCAGCTTTATGCAAAATAATATACAATATTATAACAATATTACATTACAAATAATGTTTGTATTTAATATACAAACATTAAATAACAACATACCTGTTTTAGCTCCACAAAGAGCTTTCTGATGTCTAGGTGAATGAATCCATCTCTTTGGGCAAAGGGAAACAGTTTTTCCAGGCTACGTAAAGCTTCTGTAAGACATTTCCCCCCCACATCCCATAAAGAAAATCTGTAACTCAGGGACAGTACAGTAGGAAGCATCCTTCTGGGAAAGAAAACTGGGCATGATATGGTTTAAAAATACAGCAGTTACAGAGGCATAAAGGTTCCACTTCAGTTTAGATGACAATCCTACCCAAAGCACTTCTTCATTTTGCACAATACATGTACACAGTTCCACTCTGCACTTCTGAGGAACAAAGACTGCTCCCCTCCTGCACCACCACTGAAAAAGGCTCATCAAGACAAGGCAGAAAGAAGAGACCAGTCTTCTTACGCAGCAAAAGCATGACCCTATGCCCTTTCACAGTTGTATCAGAATAGCTCCAACGACTTCAGTGAGCTTTCATGATTTTCAGGAAAGGAAAATGAGATCACATGTGGGCTTTTAGCTATGAATGCTGTAAATAAACTTAGACTCTTTCCATATGTAACCGTTGATTTAGCCAGCTAATTGTTCTGAAATATGGAAAGGCAGCCTAATTCCTTAAGCTCCCAAGCAAAACTGATCTCGCCCTTCTCAAATAAAAGACAACCACAGAAATATTACCAGGTCATGTTAGGGAGTTGCCAAATCCAAATTGCCCTACTGAGGTGAGGCTGCCATAGCTCCAAGTCCCTACGTCCAACCGGCAGCAAGGCTGGGCAGGTAGGCACACAAGCCAACACATACACAGTAAATGCACATGGCCGGCCACACAGATCAACATACGCAGCACTCGCACACACACAAACAGCACCAACAGCCTCATCCTGTTCACCTCCCTGGTTGGTCAGGATGACGATCTGCTAGAGGGAATACATACATATATATATACACACAGTGTGGATCCCCCCTAGCAGCTGGGCTCAGACACTCAGTCTGCCCAGCAGCTGCCCCTGGATCACAGCTCCCTCCCCAGTTGCTGGCACCTGGGCATACAAGCCCTCGAGGCTGCAGCCCTGCTCCAGCTTCTAATACAGATGTGCTTGCTCACACACAGAGTGGATCCCTGCAATAACTGCTCTTGGACACTCAGTCCATCTAGCAGCTGGTCCTGGTCCCTCAGCTCTCCCCAGCTGCCTCACACATAGGAGGTACACAAACAGGTCTCTCAGTCAACCCCCAGGTCTCTCTGGTGTTGGCCTGGGCCTCCTGGTTCCTCTGATAGCTGATTCTTCCTCACTGTCAGAGAAGTGCACACCTCCCCAGCTCCCAGGCCACCTCACCCACCCTTCAGCTATCCCAGCCTGATATTCACTAGTGATCACACACTGATATGCCCACCCTCACTCACTCTAGTTTCTGGCACCACGGACGCATAGGTCCCACCCCATTCACTGGCACTTGATTTCACTCATTCCAGTCCTTCCAGTTGTTGCTATGGGCCCCTATATGTCCTGTGGTCTGACCTCTGCTGCATGCAGACCCCCATACACACACTTGCACACAGAATAGAGAGTCCTCACCCAGGAAAAGAGCTAGAAATGGAGTTTAGTGAGAAGGCAGGACAGCCTGCAATGGCCAGGTGAAGGGCATGGCGAGGCAAGCATATTGACCAAGCAGCCTGTTTATACACAAGCAGCCCCTTTCATCACCTTATTTCTATTTTCCCATACTTCTTCCTTGCCAAACCACCTAGATCACGTCCTCTCCCCGCCTTTGGTTCCTCTTCCAAACCTTCCATGCTGAATCTTGTTG